GATCACCGAAGTTAAGCAGCGTCGAGCCGGGTTAGTACTTGGGAGGGAGACCACCTGGGAATACCCGGTGTCGTAGACTTTTTTTGCATTTTTTTTTACTTTTTTTTGTTTTTACATTATACATTTTAGCTTTTGTTTGTATGTAGAGTTTTAATTTAGTTTTACTTAATTATTATAACTTTTAACTAAAGTTAAACTTTAGTTCTTTAAACGTTAAATAAAACAGAGCATGTAAAGTTAGTTAAATGATTATTGTTAAATACATAACAAAACAGCCGGAACATCGTAAGCACCTAAATGATCAATATTAAACCCCCAATATCATGAATCTATTAAAAATTTATATAATTTAATTTAATAATAAAGCAACCATGTATAGTAATAAAAGTTATAGATAAAAATTTAACATATATAATGTTGAGTTATAATTATAAAATCAGACGTTAAGATCTAGTTAAGACTTTGTTTTTACATTTGAGTACAATGTGTACCCATTTTTGATATAATGTTTTGCACTTTTTAAAATGTCATTCTTTACCTTTATTAAATTTATTTAAGTTTTACAAAAACACTATAAAATTACAATATTTAAACATTATTTTTATAAATGTGTTTTGAAAAAACTTAATTTTAATAATTTTATTACCATTTTTGCAGATACTATAGATTTTAACATTTTTGCTAATAGTGTTAAAACCTTTATTTTCTCATTTCATTAACATTGCATTCAATAAACACATTAAATACATAATAAAAATTTAACAAAATTCAATACCAAATTATTTATACCTGTGTCTCATATAGTGTGTGAAAATATAATTTCCATTCAAATCAATACCATTTTTATGGCAAAATATACTTATTGTTATGCATTGATTGATGTCATTGAGGCATATAATGTACCAATGATTTCGTGGAAATAATTTAATACTTTCACAAAAATCATTGTCATTACAGTTACAGTACAACTGTAATCAGGATTTGCACTTTTATTTTTATCAGGTATATTAATATCATTATACAACGAGTTAAAAATAGCAATACATTTGATAATAAACTTTTAATGAAAATAACAAATACACGATTTAACCATAAGCTAAATGTAATATATTTTTAATAGATTAACAAAAATTAATAGATATTCAAAACAAATGCATTTATACTGTATATGAAATGCAAGTCACAAATCGTAATTTAAAACAATAGTTATGTTTTATTAATAACAGTCGAGTGGAGTGAAGTGATAATCATTTCCGTGTCTAAACTCAATCCTTTTGATCACAATTGATCCCTCGATGCGGAGTTGTTTGGCCCGATCGGTGTTCATCCGGTGCTGGTATACAATACTCTTCCCATTTATGATCACTTTATAGTACTTCTCCTCAACGATAATCTTCATCTGGAAGTTATCGCCTTTCAGTTCAAACAAACAATTATAATTCATATCATTTATTATAACAAAACATTATTTTTAATTAAAAATTAAATTTAAAAAAACTTTATAAACATAATTAAAGATAAGGAAAAAACACAAACTAAAAAAATCACAACAAAACAATTAAATGCAAAGTGTTTTACTAACCTCTTCTGATGGCCGTAAATATCTCTTTGTAGGGCTGACCCCATTCGCCATCGCGTCTAGTATTGCCGATAAAGAGCTTATCCTCAAACATAATACACATACCGAAGGGTATGTCCGAGTGTTTCCACGTCCGCTCCTCGATGTCCGGCCCGTCGATCAAATCGATGGTAAATTTGGTGCACATTTGCGGTGCGAAGCCCTCGATGTAGACAACGGTTCCCACATTTACTCCTTCGGGTATCCACTTGAAGAATGGTAGCGATGGATAGGACACAGACAATAGTTCAGTGAATATGGTTTTGGCTTTAGACATGTTTAACACACAAACAAATGGTTTACACAAAAAAACTAGGACTTAATAAATATTTCTATAATTTTTTTCTGGAAATGAGTTTAAGTTTTTTTCAGCACAAGAATTCAATACATGAAACTTTATAACCAAATAATAGGTGTATTGGATATCATGTGTAGGAGTTTTGCTTCAATTTGTTTTTCCGCACAAATAGTTTTAGTTGTTTTCCAACCAATGATTTATAAATATACGGTATTATAATATTTATCACTCAAACACACAAATATTTTAACGTTATTTTATCATTCAGTATAAAAAATGTTAGTATTTTTTATGGGAAAATCTGTGGTAACGGTGTTGAGAGAGTGAGTGAGTGAGAGGGAGAGAAAGAGAGAGTAAGTTTGTGAAACAAAGTGATAGAAAACAAGTTTTGCTGTAAAAGTATTCAGAAAAAACATTTAATACATTATATTGTATTTCATATTTTGATTAGTCGGACATAATTTGGGCGTTAATTCGCTATTGAATTCATACAAATGCAAACTTAATAAATGAAGTTCACTATTGTTTTAACGCATAAATATATAGATAATTACAATTCAATGTAAACGAAACGTATATGAAAAGGAAGTGTAGACAACGAGAAAGTGTACGGAATTTTCAATTCATGTTTATTTGATTTGGTTTTGAAATATTAATGCAATTTCTCTCTCAATTAAAGTTTCAATAGTGTTTATTATTCTCACTCTTTATAAACTAATTAATACACGGAGTGTATGACGAGAGAGAGAGAGAGAGAGAGAGAGAGAGAGAGAGAGAGAGAGAGAGAGNGAGAGAGAGAGAGAGAGAGAGAGAGAGAGAGAGAGAGAGAGAGAGAGCCTATTATATCAGACAATTGCAACATTATTTTCCTATGAAAGTCACGCTTCGAATAATGAACACAAAATTAATGTATTATTTTATTTTATAAACTTTTTTCCATTAAATAGTTATTCGTGTGTTTAAACATTACAATCAATTATAGAGTGAAAATACTTATGTATTATAAAAAACATAAATGAAAAATAAAAACAACACAACAAAAAAGTTTTGTCAAAAACTTTTCAAATACTTGTATACAACAAATGAACTAAAACTTGAAAACAATTAAAATGTATTTAATTTTTAGTATTTTAAATTTATCAAAGTTTTCATAATTAAATGTTTACCTGTAATTAAATATAATTATATTTAATATTACTTTTCTGTACAATTTATTATCAATTTTCAAGTCTGTCTCTCAAGAAAATAATTAATAAATTATATATAGTATTGAAAATTAAGATATTTTGGCCGAAAGTGTGAATAATTTGATAATTTATAAAATATTAAATACACTATAATTATATTAGCAATTTTTTGAATCGTAACTCCTATTGACTATATATAGTGTTTATGATATTATAATACAATTAAAAATATTTAAGTGTAACTAATATTTAAAATTTTTGCTGTATTTCGTAATAAGTGTTAACATTGAGAGAAGTTTTCCGTACATTTTTCATTAACACTTAACACCAAAATTTATATTAAATTATGTAAATCTGTTGAAAATTATTTAAATTTTAATTATAATGATTATAATATTTTATTGTTTTCAGCATTTATTTAATACAAACATGATTTTAAACCTTAACTCTAAGGTAATTTTTATGAATATTGTGTACAATAATTTTGAACACAAATATTTGCTCAAAACATGTTATATTGTATACAATATTACTGATTATTTTACCATTTTGTTTATTAAATAAACAAAACTTTTCTTCATGAACAATGAACTCAATTACTGCTTAACTCCAGTGTTATTACAATTGATTCCCAAAATCTAAAAGTAATTTACAATAAATTACATGATATTAAGGAAACAATTGAATACTTTCTCTACAACTCCTGTCACAGAGTTTTTTGTAGTGAAAATTAGTTTTGAAGACAATCTTATTTCAGATAAATATATTTGTAAAGCAATTTAAAATCTTTTTAGTAATTAATACCTGTTTTCAATTAAATGAAATAAATTCACATAAATATTAATACTTCCGGTGTTTTTAGTTTCATTTAATGTCAACGATATTTATTTATTAGAAAGTTATGTAATGACCGATGTATTAATATTAATGATTTAACATGATAAAACATTAATTAACTTTTCATTAAATAAATAGATATATATTTCCAGATATTTGCATCTAGATTAACAATTTATGATAATTTAATGGCAATTATGAGCAAATTTTTATGCAATTAACTAGAGCTTTTATTTATTAAAAATAATTTAACGATTTTGAATATAATTAATTCATTTCTCACAGGATTATATGATGTAATTAAATGTCATTATAACTTATAATAAATAATTCATTCATAATCTAAATAAATATTCAGTTTAATTCATTTCGTGTGAAATAAATGATTGAATTGCGAGGAAATTGTGTTTATATTACACTGTATTACCATTATTTCCAACTAAACGTTTTCAGTAATTTATAGCCACCATGTCCACCCCCATGACCACCACCACCACCATGGTGGCCTCCATCATCATGATAACCGCCTCCATGTCCGCCACCGCCATGTCCTTATCATTAAAATTTTATTCATATAATTTACATTAAAAACTAAAAATTTTAAACAAAATATTCACGATTACCTCCACCGCCGTGGCCTCCGTGCGGGTGATAGCTCTTGCTATAAGTATAACCTCCCTGTCCTCCGGGACCCCCTTTGCCGCCGCTTCCGCCCGGTTTGCCATAACTACCCTTTCCTCCGGGACCGCCCCGTTTGCCGGGCCCTCCTTTGCCGCCCGGACCTCCTTTGCTGCCACGCTTTCCGGGTCCACCTTTGCCTCCCGGATGACCCTTTCCGCCGCTCCCGCCTTTACCCCCATAACCACCCGGTCCTCCGTGAGAGCCATACCCACCGCCGCCGCCGTGTCCTTAATGTTATTCATTGAATTGATTAACGTTTGATGTAATGATTATAATGGCGTTAATATACCCCCGGCTTCGACGCTAACGATCACCACAATTATGATGAACACACAAATTAAATATAACTTGCATTTCATGTTTGCTTTATGTATTGTATCGTCTCTTTAGTGACACAATCGCTGATATCACTGAACAAAATGGCAAATGTTTGCCAATATTTATACCGATATTTATTTTTGCTAATTATTTCGGTAATTGTTTCGTACGGAAAGTCATTTTCATTTAATACGATATATAAAAACAGATAATTGTATTAATCTTATTATGTAATTTGTTTGATGTCAAAAAACTAAGTTTTTTTTTATAGATTTTGTATTAAATGCTGTTTTGTGTGAAATTGGATTAAACGACATGAATGACAATGCAATCAAGTATTAAAAGTTATATTTAAAAATACATGTTTAAGTTAAAGACAAATTATGCTATACTTTGAATATTAATTTATTAACGAAATAATCATTCATTAAAATCACTCAAACGTTATATAAGATTATGTTTTCCTTTTTCTCAATTCCTATTAAAAAAAAAAATGTTGTTTTTTGTTATAAAAATTCAATACAAAGAAGTTCCTATTGAAAGCAAAAGTTTGTTTGTATTAAATTCAAGGTCTGATTGTCTCTAAAGATTGTTTCAAAAAAACTAGTTAAGGAAATGATGGTTAAGATTATCATTCATTTTTCATTCAATTTAATTGCATTTCAAATATGTTTTTATTATCTAAATAATAAGATTTTAATTTATTTTTATATGCATTAACTACCTTGCTGCTTTTGTACACAATACTATTTATATTTGAATTGTTTTATGTTACAAAAATGGATTTTTTTAAATCAATGAATTAAAGTATTCACTGATTATTATTATTCATTTATTGCTCATTAAAACCATTACTAAATATATTCAATGTTAATAATCAGTGAATATTTAAATTCATTGATTAATAAGTTACCTTTTTCTAACATATTTTATTTTATTTTATTTGATCACCAAAAGAATTTTAAACAGTAATGCCTTTATATTTTCCAAAATTTTCATGAAATCATACAAATCCTGGCATTAAATGACATTTAAAGTCACAATAAATTCAAGAATTGCAATCATTTCCAGTACTAAGTCTCGAAGAATTAGTAGAACTGATGTAAAAATTGTGATAACTGTTGGAAAATTCGACCAAATAATGGCTTTTGTATTCAATAATATCGATAATAATGAATATAATCTATAATTATATGCAATTCATTAAAACATAATTGTTGACTAAATTAATGAATCCAAAGTAATGTCCCACTTGTCTCACCGTATCTTTCCTTCAAAAATGTTATTTTGAGTAAAATACCAAACAATAGATATATTTCTTATAGTTTATTGATTTGTTCGGAGAATAGTATAAAACCATTGGATTTATCCATAATATAGTATAGAAATGAATAATTAGTTCTGAAAATATAGTATTAAAAATATTTTAAAAATGAGTATTTTAAATAATAATTGTATAAAATATAAAACAATAAATTAAAAAACAAAAAATATCAGAATTTGTAGACAAATGTGTGAATACATATTTTTCTAATTATATATAAAACAATAAAAATATCATAAAAAATTGATGAAATAAAATGAATAAGAATTTAGTGGTAAAACATATGAATAATCGATGTGAAGAAAATGGATAATATATTGAATTTCTATTTATCGCCCATTTGTTGAGTATTTTAAATTCGACCAAATAATGGCTTTTGTATTCAATAATATCGATAATAATGAATATAATCTATAATTATATGCAATTCATTAAAACATAATTGTTGACTAAATTAATGAATCCAAAGTAATGTCCCACTCGTCTCACCGTATCTTTCCTTCAAAAATGTTATTTTTAGTGAAATACCAAACAATAGATATATTTCTTATAGTTTATTGATTTGTTCGGAGAATAGTATAAAACCATTGGATTTATCCATAATATAGTATAGAAATGAATAATTAGTTCTGAAAATATAGTATTGAAAATATTTTAAAAATGAGTTTATTTTAAATAATAATTGTATAAAATATAAAACAATAAATTAAAAAACAAAAAATATCAGAATTTGTAGACAAATGTGTGAATACATATTTTTCTAATTATATATAAAACAATAAAAAATATCATAAAAAATTGATGAAATAAAATGAATAAGAATTTAGTGGTAAAACATATGAATAATCGATGTGAAGAAAATGGATAATATATTGAATTTCTATTTATCGCCCATTTGTTGAGTATTTTAAAAATATCATAAAAAATTGATGAAATAAAATGAATA